GAGAGAGAGAGAGAGAGAGAGAGAGAGAGAGAGAGAGAGAGAGAGAGAGAGTTTGTTCTTCTGGAACTGAATTCGAAGTGTGTGTGTGTGTGTGTGTGTGTGTGTGTGTGAGAGAGAGAGAGAGAGAGAGAAGCACGTGCTGAAGGGATGTTCCGTTGTAAGGGTAACGGTGTGGGAACTCGTCATATGATCCGTAGAAGGCGTACAACTTTGCCTCGACTTTGTCATTTTTAAAAAAATAATTTATTATAATTTAGAATGAAAAATTATATAAATATATATGTTATTATGTAGAGTAATAGTTGCGTGATTGCGGTCGGATGTGTCGAGGTCCGGTTGTAATTGCAGTAGTATGCATTCTAGAAAGTCCTAGCGTGAATGTGCCCTCATTCATGATCAGGGTTCATTTTGTTTCGGGGAAAGATAGGGAGAGGACTTTGGAGCGAGAGAGTCCTTTTGCTTGCTTCTCTTGTCCGCTTTGGGGTCTGGAGGGGTCTCTCGTTGAATTGCAGGGGTTGTGGCGGGTGAGGGTGGTAGTGGTGGTAGTAGATAGTCCGATGCCATTACAAAACTACCGTAGTGGTTGACTTGACCCGATCTTATTTCACCGCAGCAACCATGATTATAGCGTTGCCAACTGGAATAGAGATGTTTGTGCTGATTGGATCCCCAACTATGTGGGGACGTTCAATGCAAGTTATTTGGAAAGAGGAGGGGAGAGGGAGGGGGAGAGGGAGGGGGAGGCAAGCATAATTGGCCGTTTCCACTTTCGTTGTTTCTTTCTTAAGTTGGTCAATCGGTAACGCAGTGACGTGGCCACGTCAGCAGTGGCGGGACCACCATCTTTACAACTTGAATGTCTGACCTGCTGACGTGGAACACTTGTCTTTTGATGCGAAGGTGGATTATTGGTGACATGATGACGTGGATGATTGGTGACACAATGACATGAATGGTGTGAATCCACACTTGGCTTCTACTGTGGGCTGGAAACATATCCCGGTGATGACATGGATGGATGATCCCGGTCATTGACAGATCACTGTTGGTGACGTGGACGATTTGATGACGTGGACGATTGGTAACAGGGACGATTGGTGTGGGTGATTGGTGACATGATTGATGGGGATGATGGATGTGGATGATTGATGACATGATTGATGGGGATGATGTGGATGATGAGTGTGGATGATTGGGGACATGATACCGTGAATGATTGGTGTGGATGATCGGTGTGAATGACTGGTGTGAATGATTGGGGGCATGATGTGGGTGATTGATGTGGATGATTGGGGACGTGATGACGTGGATGATTGGTGTGAATGATTGGGGACATGATGACGTGGATGACTGGTGGATCATTGGTGACATGATGACGTGGATGATTGGTGTGGATTATTGGTGACACCATGACATGATTGGTGTGAATGATTGAAACGTGATGATGTGGATGATTGGTAACGTGATGATGTGAATGATTGATGACAAGATTGGTGTGGATGATGGATCGATGACATGATTGATGTGGATGACTGGTAGGTGACATACTGACGCTGATGATTGGTGACAGGAATAATTATGCAAGGATCGGTGACAAGATGACCTGGATGATTGGTGGCATGATGACGTAGGTCATTGGTGGCATGATGACGTAGGTCATTGGTGGCATGATTGGTGTGGATTATTGGTGTGGATGATTGATGACATGATGACGTGGATGAGTGGTGGGCGACATGGTGACATGGATGATTCGTGGGTGACATGATGACGTGGGTGATTAGTGACACACTTCTTTGGCAATCTCGTTTTGTAATACAATATCACAACGACTCATCAGTGCTTCGGTTCCGTTGATATCAGGTTGGAGAAGCTATATGAATAATTACACGATGACGTGGATTGTTGTTTGACACGATGACGTGGATGATTGGTGACGCGATGACGTGATCGGTGACATGATGATGTGCGGATGATTGGTGGCATGATGACCTGGATGATTGGTGACAGGAATTATTATGCATGGCCCAACGGAAGTGCGAGGATGTGCTACAGGGGCTGCTTCTTCTGGGTAGCCGTCCGCCCATACGAAGAATGATCTCCTCGGCGCTCGTGAAGTTAATAGAGAAGGGCGATGGCATCTCGGTGTATTCGCGTGTCAGCAGCCTGCAAGGATGGCTTTCAGATAAAGCCGACAAGAGATTGGCTCCTTCCTGCTACCAAGGTATGTGTGAGAGAGAGGTGGTGCGAGTTCCATCCGTTATGCTTTTGTTCCTTATGTTAAAGGGCCATTACGCCGCCCCAGCCAAGTTGAGAATCGCGACTGATCCTCTCCTAAAATTTTTAGGAGACTCAGGACAGGGTGTGCCGAAGGCTCAGTAGAAGAAAAACAAATAGTTGTCCCATGCCATGGGTGGGCACTACCGTCTTCACCCGAATAGAACGCCCGACGCCCAGGTGAAGACGGCCCCAGGGCCAGTACGCGGCCCCAGCCAAGTTGAGAATCGCGACTGATCCTCTCCTAAAATTTTTAGAGGCTCAGGACAGGGTATGCCGAAGGCTCAGTAGAAGAAAAACAAATAGTTGTCCCATGCCATGGGTGGGCAGAACGCCCGACGCCCGGGTGAAGACGGTAGGCCCAGCGCTGAAGAAGACTTAAAACTCATCTGTCTGGCCGCAGGCGGGCCCTGTCCCGAGTGCCCTAACTGTTCAGAAAGGCTCATTCGGTTTAAATACCAGTCCATCCAAAGCTAATTCGATGAGCCGAAAAATGAATTTTGCCGAGCCAGCTTCCGACCGGGTACTGCGAATCGAATTGGCGAATTTGAGGCTGCGAATCAAATTGGCGAATTTGAGGTGGTAGTATCGTGTTAGCGGTACCGGCAAATGTGTGTGGCAACAAGGGCAGGCAGGCAGGCAGGCAGGCAGGCCTCATCACCCTGGCACTTTCCTTTTATTGTGGTCCCACGAGCCCACCCTCACCTAACGTCTACTGGGCCTGGGCACTGCACATTTTGTCCCAGTACTCATCAACGAGTGAAATCTACAGTGCGCCTGCCGTGGATTGGTGGTTTAATTGGGTTAACCATATGTTATCGAGTCTTTTTTTTTTTTTTTTTAAATCCGTTTGTTTGTCTCACTGTTGCATTTGTTTGTGTTTTACGAAGATGCCTTCTTTTTTTTTTTTACCACTTGTTTGCATTTGTCTCTGTTTGTTTCCATTGTAATGAACCCTGTCTCGTTGAGAAGCCTGTCAGCAATGCAATAGAAGTCTGAACCCATCTCGTCTCATGAGGTCTCCAACCGCAGGTACAGTTCAATGTCTCAATCACATGCACGTTTCGAGAGCATCATCTCATCAGAGAAGAAATCGATAGAAGAGGAGAGAAGAGACAGAGAAGAGGAGGAGGGGACTCTCAATGATAATCAATAGTTCATGTAGGTCTCTCTCTCTCTCTCTGTGCCACTCCCACATTGGGCTTCTCCCCTATTGCCACCTCACCAATGCATTCTCCCTCTGACATCCTCCGACATAAGTACCATGCAGATCATGCCCTCCTAGGCTGACCACTGGGTTGACTTTGACTTTGGGCCTGCTTTTCCGTGCTTGGTCTGACTCTTGATTTTCCAAGGGTCAATTACCTCGCGTGGGACCTCTGGATGTTGTTTTGACCCCGACGCTGATACCCCTGTTTCTGACCTTAGGCGTTTTCCTAGACATTTGTCAGACTTGGGACGTGACCTTTGACCCCTGTTTCTGGCCTTCGATCAGAAGTGACGACCCTTGCCCGCGACGGTATCGCCGTGAACTGACTTCATTGCACGGCACTATCTTCGTCTGTTCCTCGTCCTCCCCCCCCCTTCTTCCCCTGAGGTCTCTTTCGTGATGCATGGCGCGTTGACCCTCTCGTCCATTCCGAACATCTGTTTTCTAAATTGGAGTTGGAGTTTGTTTTATACAGGTCAGTCTCTTTGTCTGCTCTCCAGCTCGTTGACATTATGCACGGGTTGTTTTGATTGGTCTTTTTCTTTGCACACCCTTGTTTTTTTGGTTGCCTTGGTGCACAGGGGTGGCTCAGTGTCTTGGGGCGCTGACGAAATCTTTTGGTCAGAAGCTGTCCTCCTCGCTTGCAGAGACTGCCAGCATCGTGTCAAAGCTGATGAAGTATTCAGAGGTAAATGTGGTTAGACAGGCAAATGACGTCCAATATGTTTATTATCATTATTATCCTGATGATGATGATGATGGTGATGATGGTGAGGAGTTTGTCGGTCTGGATGAATCTTCATTGGCCGAGTTCGAACTAAATGGTCGTTGGTTTGTCTAGTCCCCATGATGATGATGATGATGATGACGAGGAGGAGGAGGAGGAGGCAGCAGAGGAGGAGGAGGGGGCAGCTGCAGAGGAGGAGGAGGACGAGGAGTGGGGGGAGGAGAAGGAAGACTTGTGGGCTAGGGTGAGTTTTCATTTGAGAATGAGTCCAGAAGGAGGAGGAGGTGGCGGGGGAGGAGGAGGAGAGTTGTGGGTTTGGTTGAGTTTTCATTTGGGAATGAGTGCAGAATTGGAAAGAATCGTTCAGTGTCAACGGTGACTTTTACCATTACGAAAAGAAGAAAAGGAAAGAATCGTTCAGTGTCACAGAGAAAGGTTGAACCGCAAGCAAGAGTCTTTTGTCTTCTCCTGAACACAAGTCACCCTCATTATGGTTGTACCAGTCCGGAAAGATAGTGTGTATACATTGGTTACGAGCTGGCGGAAAGATGTTCGGGGGAAGACGGTATGGTTTTCTTTCTTTTCTATCTTGTCTTCTCGCTCCTTTCCCCTTCCTACCATTCTTTTTCTTCTTTTTTTTTTCCTTCCCCCCCCCCACTCGCCCCCACCACGAAAAAAAACAACAACGCACAAGGCCCCTTCTATTCTGGGGGGCATCAGTCCGGTTGCTTATCACCGGCAAGTGTGAGTTCAAGCAAGACGGTTGTAAGGATAGAAATCAGCCAAACCCTTGCGGTACAAGGGGGGGGCTGCTACAGGTCATCCCACCCCCCAAACCATAGCCTCCCCTGAGGTGCTTCTGCTGGCCGGGAAGTGTACTAGCAGCACCCAGTCACGCAGCAGAAGGACCGAGGGGCGGCGGGGCTCAGGAGTGGCAGGGCGCGGGGGAGCAAGCCCAGCAGTCTCACTGGCCGCTTGTCTCCTCCGCATGGCCAAAGCATCTCAAGAAAAACCAAAAGGGCTTATTTCTATGAACACCCCTCTCATGCTATAGCCGTACTGTTTTTTTTTTTCTTTTCTTTTCTTTTTCTTTTTCAACGCCTGTTTTGTTTTTCCCCCCTCCCATTTTCTTCCCTTCCTAGCTCTTTTCTGCTTTTTGTGTGTTTTTAGGCGTTATTATTATTATTGTTATTATTTTTCAAGACCTTGTTAAAAAAAAAACAGAAAACAAAAGAACCATGAAATCCACTTAGTTAGAGTTGCCATCGTAAGTGCACTTTGAATGGATTTCGTTTTTTTTTTTTTTAATTTTATTTTAGACCCTAGATTTAGCAGTTGTAACTGCAATTAGAATGAATTTCCTGTGGTTTGTGTGGAGTTACTACGATTTCTTGCATATAAGATTGGTTAATGTGGTTAGTGTGGAGTTAAGTTACATCTCTCCTTGGGTTTGTTGGGTGAAGAGTGTGTTCGCTTGATCTGCTGACTTGTGGAGATGGGTTGGATGGGTCGTGCTTTTGGTGCAGGTGAGTGTGAGACAAGCAGGAATGAAGCTGCTCCAGAATGCAGTAGAGGGTACACAGGGACTGGGTTCGGCAAATGCATATGCGGAAGTAGTGCGGGTGATCACAAGGCTTGGGAGCACTGACCGCTCGCCTGCGGTGCGTGCCACGGCAGCTGGCTCTCTCCGCGTCCTGGCTAATGTGGGAGGTCCTGGTCTTGTGGGACCGGGGATAGATCTCTGTGCCGCTCTGTGCATTAAGGTACGTTTCCTTTGGTGTCTTCATCCTCTTCCTCCTTGTTCTTCATCCTCTTCCTCCTTGTTCTTCGTCCTCTTCATCCTCTTCATCCTCTTCTGCCTCCTCCTCCTCCTCCTCCTGCTGCTTCTCTCCTCCTCCTCCTCCTCCTCCTGCTTGTCCTTCCCTCCACCTTGTTCTTCATCCTGTTCATCCTCTTCTGCCTCCGCCTCCTCCCCCTCCTCCTCCTGCTTCTTCTCTCCTCCTCCTCCTCCATTTTCTTCTCCTTCTTCTTCTTGGCCTTACCTCGACCTCTTTTTCCATCTTCCTTGCTGCTTCTTGAACAATGTGCTACATTCCCATTTGCTTAAAAAACCCACCTGGCATGCCTTCTGTCACCGCTTTCTTGTCATTGCCATTGGTGTCCTCCTGTTTTGCCCATCTGTTACCTTTTTCTTTTTATCAATAATTTTTTCATTTTAAAATTTTATGCATGGGTTTCTTTTCGTCATCCCCCCCCCACTTCCCCCCCCCCCCCCCCCACAGTGTTGTTGGTACTTTCTGCTGATTTTGGGGCTTTGGCCCCTTTTCTGCCGACTTCCTTTCATGCTGCTGTTTCTGCATCACGGTAACTTGAAAAGTTGTACGTTTCTTTGTTGTCTTTCCCTCTTCCTGTTGCTGCGGTCTTTTTCTTTCTTGTGAATAACGAAGAAAAGGGGCAGCCCCGTACATTATTGTCTTCAGTAGGATTTGAACTCGTGATCTGTTTATCAAGAGTCACATGTATGTGCGAGGAATGAGCCTCGCGGAGCCCTTATCAGACATACAAGTGTTCTGGGCTGTGGCCCCAAGCAAGCCTCGTGCCCACCCTAAATGAAGGCGGGCCTGAATATCCACGTGAGGCCTGTTCTGAACAATTTTTCCATATGTGGGTACTCGGACAGTTGCAGCAGCACGCCAGTTGGTTACAGAGCAACGTGAGCCTCCAGGCTCTTTCCAGAAGAAAAGGGCTGCGCTGTACAGTTGAGCCCAGGGCTCATGCGATTGCGCCCTGGGCACACGCTGTGTGAAGCCGACACATCACGGACTGGTTACGGGCCAACGATCAAGCAGCATTGTCGTCACACATGAGCCGCGAGCCACACGAGCCAATGAGAATGCTGCAAACACTTGGAAGCTGGGTGTCTGCCTGGACGTGCCTAACTGCACGAGGCCCCGTCCAGTTTCGGAAACTGGGCCTGGGCGCAGACACCTGAGGCCTAACTCAAGCTACTGGGCCCCCCACATGACCGGCCAGGACAGCCAGCAGCGACACACTTTCAATAAAGGAAAGCCCCTGGTAGAGTCAGTCTGGCCTTGGCAGGCGGGCATGCTGCTGCGTTGCTGCGCTAGTGTCTGCATGGGCGCTGCAGGTCGGGCGCACGCATGGGAGCTGAGGTGAGAGGGGCGCTGCGGGGCAGCGGGCGCACAGCAGCCATAGCCGGGCTGCAGGGGTGCAATGCAGGTGATGGCGATGGTGGTCTTTGGGTAGGAGGCGCATGAAGAGGGGATCCAAGGGGTGATGAGGGGAGGAGAGAGAACGTACCAGGTGTATGCTGGTGGTCGGCATTGGCGTTGACATCACGTACATTGGTATTCGACTTCAGAGTGATCCAGTTGCAAGAACGTAGATAGGCTAGGTAGGCTGAGTAGGATAGGCTGGGCGTTGGGCGCTGGACAGTAAGTGCGACATTGGATACAGTGTCGGTGTGACCAGAGAGTGGCGACATTGACACGTGAGTTCATTGTATTGCTCTTATCTGGACGGTATCTTGGTGCATTGCACTCTCTGCTTGGTTGGTTCACGACTATCTGAGCTTCTTCTGCGATTTAGCAACTTGGTTTTCTGTCTATAGCTCTCGTTCATATTCCTTGCATATGTCTGTTGCTGATTGTTTTCTTTCTTTGCTGCTGTCTTTTTTTTTCTCTTGTGAATAACGAAGAAGGGGCAGCCCCCGACATTATTGTCGTCAGTAGGATCTGAACTCATGATCTGTTTATCAAGAGTCACATGTATGTTCTAGGGCAGTTCTAACATATTTCTGGTCGTCTTCTTTTTCCTCTTTCTGCTTTCCTCGCTGCCTCTTCCCTGTCCCTTTTCCACCACCAACCCCCTTTTTTTTTGGGTTAGAACAGGGCCTCATGGTCCTGGCTCCATATCCATTCTGGGGAGTGTCATTCCGGTCCCTTTTCCACTGGCAATTAAATTTTCTTTCTTCTTTTGCTTCCCCCCCCCCCCCCCCTTTTTTTTTTTTCACATCTCTTTTTCTCCTGCTAAGCGTGGCATCAGAGAGAGTGTCACATGCATGAGGACGATACAAATTCGATATTGGTACATATCAAATTGAGCATTGCATATGCAGGTTAGAAGGTAGTATACATTTTATAAGGGCAAACAAAGGTAGCGCCTTTAGGCCGCATTTCTGTTCTCCATTTGAGTGCTGGGGTGTCCTTGCATTAGCCCCTGGTGGTCAAAAGTGCTAATTTGAAGGAAAACAAAGGTATGACCTTTGGCCTCATTTCAGAAGGTGTAGCCCTTGCAGTAGTCCCTCAGGTCAAGAGCGCTAATTTAGGGGAAAAAGGTATCCCCTTTGGCCTGTAGTCCCTGCATTAGCCGCTTAGGTCGAGAGCGCTATTTTAGGAGACAAGAGGTATCACCTTTGTCCTTCGCTTCTTAAAGAGAAGTCCTTGCATTAGTCCCTTAGGTTGAGAACGCGCGTTTAGGGGGAAAAGGTATCACCTTTGACCTTGTTTATAAAGGTAGCCCTTGTAGTAGCCCCTGTGGCTGAGGGGGCTAATTTTGGGGAAAGGATCACCTTTGGCCTCATTTCTAGAGGGGTAGTCCTTTCAGTAGCCTTCAAGGTTGAGAGTGCTAATTTAGGGAAAAGAGGTGTCGCCTCTCGTGGCTCTATCAGATGTGGACTAGGAAGATGGCTTGTGTACGTTCGGAATGACAGTGGATTATGTTTGGGGAAAGTAGCGCTTGCTTCCATGCGTGTGTTTTGTGGATTGCCTTTTGTCTTTTTGCAGTTGACAGCATCTCTCATGGATTCTCGAGTCACCTATGGCACTCATTGCACATAATCTGGCCATGATTCTTGTAAGGCCTCTGGTATGAGTATTAGGTTTGTCTTGTTTCAATTGTTTCCCTCCCTGGTTATTCCAGACCCAGAGACCTTGTCCATCTGGATGCTGAATCGGTCCTTTCAGACACAGCAGCTGAAAATCGAGGTTCATTGCAGATCCATCTGGATGTTGATCATGTCCTTCCAGACGCATCTGGATGTGACCTTACACAGCTTCATCACATTCTGAATCTGTCCTTCCAGACGCGTCTGAAAGTTGCGATGATGTGGACGAGGAAATCGGAGGCTATCGCCTATTCCTCCTGCCCCCTCCGCCTTCAAAGAAAAGACTCAAAAAAATTGCTTTCGAAAACCGTGGATGACCCTGTATGCTTTGAATTATAGAGAAGAGAGAGAGAGAGAGAGAGAGAGAGAGAGAGAGAGAGAGAGAGAGAGAGAGAGAGAGAGAGAGAGAGAATCTGGATAGGCTTTCTTGCTGTGGGCCCACTAGTAACTGGCTGGCTACGATGACATGTGTCTGTCACCCGGGGGTCTCTGTGGCAGTTACAATCTGGTGGCAGCTGTGCCACAGCAGTTTACTCGAGCCCGTCGTGGACTTGAACAATCAGTCTCTGAAAAATTGGACAAAGCCTTGTAGGCAGGAACTTTTGGCCGTTGCACCGATGAAGCAGCTGAACAAAGAAGCGGGCTCCTGTGAGCCAGGGTGTTGGAGGAGGAAGATGTGTAAAATGGAGTCTTTCAACAACATCGAGCGTGCCACAACAACAACAATTTAGCAACAAGAACAAGAACAACAAGAAGAGCTACGTCAAGACAAATAAGAAGAACAGCAGAAGAAGAAGAGCAACACCCCCCCAACAAGAAGAGCTACGTCAAGACAAATAAGAAGAACAGCAGAAGAAGAAGAGCAACACCNCCCCCCCCCCCCCCCCCAAAAAAAAAAAAAAAAAAAAAAAAGCACAAGAAGAAAACCAGCAACTGCGACAAGAAGAGCAAGAAGAAGAAGAAGACAAGATGATGAAGATGAAAACAAAGTAGAAAACAAAGAAGAAGAAGAAGAAGAAGAAGAACACCACAAGAAAAACGGAAAAAAAGAAGAACAAGAACAACCTTTTTAGCATTGACTGCGCAGTGGTGCAAAGAAAGTTACCTGGAGCCCTTTTTTTTCCCAAAAAAAAGGTGGTGGGCGGCCCCATGCAATTCAGAATTATGTTATTCTGTTCAGCTGATCGATCTGGAATTGGACTTGGGTCTGTATCATACTTGTGGCACATCAGGCGCAAGGTGCATGCACATCCATTAAAATAGGAGTGGGAAAAAAAGATCGGGAGTGGCAGGGTTGGATGGCACACCTGTTCCCTTGACTCGGAAAAATAGGATTCCACGAGAAGAAAAAAAAAAATGGCGGCTGTGCGCTACAGCTGCCCCCAAAGATGTGTTATGTGTCCCGTGGTTGAAGATGGAATCAAGATTGGCCTGGCTCCACTGCACAAAGAGTCTACAATGCTCCACATGTATCTGGAGCTGTTAATGCTCGAATGTGCCGTGTTGAGTAATGGAGCGTGGCTCCATTTTTGGACAACGGATACTCCTGACAATCTCTCTTGTCTTTTCATGACAACACTAATTTTGAGGGTGTACTGACACTAGGGACGTTGCTCCACTGCTCATCAATTGTGCAAAATGAGAATGAATCTTTTGCTAGAACAATGGAAATATACGCCACAATAATTTTTGTTTTTGTGCATGTGGTGAGTAGTGAAGCGAGGCCCTAAGACCTACTAGACTCAGCTACGGATGTGATTCCAGGCGTCGTTGCCGTTCGATACATCCACTTATGTTTTGTTTTGTCAAACGTCGTCTCCACAAGGCGCCTTCAAGAATCCACCGAAGAGCTAAGGT